CTATGTGTCCATTTCATATTTGAAGATATTGAAGTAATTCTGTCTCACTGGAACATTTGAGAGTATAGAGTAATAAGGGGTGAGACAAACACACAGGAACCTTATAGACTTTTTTGTGTATACGCTTGTTTTTGTTTGTTTCCCGATAAAGAGGTTTTCTAGTTCTCTCTGTAATATAGGGAATCATTGGAATGCTTAAAGCAGGAGCAAGGACCTTTTATATACTTAAAGGTAGCGAGGTTGCCTGACTGTTCATCTCTATTATCTTCGATTGACCTTGGATTTTGCCCTTTGGGTTGTCAGCAGTCCTATTTGAATATTTAATACAACTTCTCATTCATTTAACTAACTCACCCTGTGCTCTGAAACTTCATCCCTGACGTCTCTCAGGAGAATTCATTCCAGAACTTTCTCACCTCTGGTTTAGGAACTCTATCAATGCTGGAATGATGTGACCTTGATTTTTATATGCATACTTAACTCTGATTTCGTTACTCCTAGAATGTCATCGTTTCGTGGCCTAGTGCGCATCTTGCATACAGAAATATAACTAGAATTAAAAAGTATTTCTGACTTTGATCACCCTTTCAGGACATAAGCTATTAAGAACAAATTAGCATTTCTGATAAATAACTGTAAAGTGGTGCCTACATTTTTTGGATGTAATTCAGAAAGTAGAAAGAAGCTTCTATTTATAATCCTGTATCAAAAATTCTTTTAATACATAATGTGTGAATCACAAAGGCAATGCTGTGTTTTGTCCTAATTAGTGAGAGGCAGAAGCAGCATCATATTTGAGGAAGTTTAAAACTTTTTTTGTCTCAGTATCACTTTTGGGGTATTTAATTTTTTAGATATTAACAAAGCATTAGAAGAATTAATAGTCAAAATAACATCTTAGGTTCTGTTAAGATGGGTCATTCTTCTATAAACTGTTGTTTTTATGTCCATCACGCTTCCTTTTTCAAGTTGAAGGTCTTACTCTGTCACCCAGGCTGAAGTACAATGGCACAATCTTGGCTCACTGCAACCTCTGCTTCCCCAGTTCAAGCGATTCTCATGCCTCAGCCTCTTGAGTAGCTGGGCTTACATGTGCCCACCACCACACCTGGCTAATTTTTGTATTTTTTAGTAGAGATGGGGTTTAACCATGTTCCAAAGCTGGTCTTGAACTCCTGACCTCAGGTGATCCACACAACAGGCAGGAGTCATCGCGCCTGGCGTCATCACTCTTAAACGCAGAATAGCATAAGACTGAATAAGGAGAAACAGTAGCAATATGGAGAGCAGATATACTGGTGGCTAAAAAACCATAGCAGTTGACCAATCCCTAAGTAAATATTCAATGTACTTAAGACTGGTCTCAGAGAAAGGGTTTCTTAAGGGTCAGACCCAGAAAAACACTGACTTATGGTAGGAAAAAAATGAAAGTCTTGTCAGTTATACTAAATACAATCATTTGAATGAGTTCAAGTTTTATGTTTTACTGGCTGAGGAATATAATAAGATGTTTTAAATGTTAAAGCTCAATTGTACTTTGAGCCCTTCATTTTTAAAATAAAGATCTTGTACCCTTTCCCCTATTGTAATTTTTTTTTCTTGAACGGTCGATGGTATTTCTGTTATACGGTCGATGGTATTTCTGTTATAGTCTCTTTGTAAAAGTTCTTTGTTTCTGCCTCTTCTGACAACCCCAGGTCAATAACACTTTTGTTTATACCAAAGCCCTACCATCCAACTCTCACTAAAGAGATACTATATGGTATGCTGGTGCAAATAGAATGCTCTTCTCCAAACTTGGTGTCACAATCTTGTGAGTTACAGAGCATTCCTCATGAAAATAGTACATTTAGGTTTTATCTGTCTCTCCCGTGGGCGCAGAATCAGGCCAGGATGTAGTTTTAGCAAGATAGCAAAAACCACGATTACTTTGATATCAACCTAGTAACATGTCACCTGCCACATTTTCCTCCTCCCCATCTCTTCTTCAGGATGACCTTGCACAAACAGAGCAACACTATAACCTGTCTCACCCCTTTAGATTCGAGAAAGGTCTTCATGCAAATAGATGTGTGTTCATGTGGGATGGGTCTGAGTGGTGGGCACTTTCCCACTCAAATTCCTAGTTTGCAGTAACTAAGGCAGAATATTAAGTGTTTGACCACAGTCACCATTTCTGAGGAACTTCCCATTCAATGAGATTTTTCAGATTGGTTTCTATTATGTTCTGGGACATGTGATAGAACTTTATTTTTTCAGAGCCCAGAAGTACAACCTTGAGAACAATTTGATTTCTTTTTAAATATGTGAATTATGAAAAGATTCAAAGATACAAAAAGAACAGAGACTAATATGACAGATGTCACTCCCTCCTTCTCAAAGGTAACTACTATATTTAAAGTGGGTATATATTCTTTTAGAACTATAAGAACATATACAAATGTATATGTTTAAATTATGCAGTTTTCATTTGTGTAAAGTTTTTCACAAATGATATTTCTTTTCCCACTCAAATGATATGATATTTCTTTTCCCACTCAAATGATATGACTTTTCCCACTCAAATTTTGACCTCACGGCTTCCCATTTTAACATATGACTGTCCCCTGACTCACATCCCTAAGTCTGTTTTATCCTACCCAGATGCACTGTCTGTGCATCTGCAGTGAGTTTCTGAAAGTGGCTCCTGAGTTGGAGGATTCAGAACAGGACTGGGGTAGAGCCTGTTGACACAGCTCCCTTAAAGCAGTCATTTTCTTTCTCAGGTTTTGCATACTTTTCTTCTTAACTCTTTAAATATATAACCTAGCAAGAAACAACCGTAACCATAGCAACACAAAAACATTTTTGTGACCCCAGTGTACAATTACTTCTAATCAGCATCTCTTTAGAAGTTAATATCTGGCCAAGCCCTAGAGAATGCTCCAAATCACTGGGACTGAATTTTACTAAATCTTGTCAAAGTACTTGTCAAAATGATGTGTAACCATTGTGCTCCCATCGGTAGTAAAAGGGTTCCCTTTTGTCTACGTGCTCAGTATGATTAATATTATTATGCTTTAATTTGTTTACCTATGCCAACAAGTATGAAATTACATCTGATTGTTTGCATTATAATTTCTCCAATTCAAGTCTTATTGTGTATTTATCAGCAATATGGATTGCTTTTCAGTGAACTGAGTGTGATAATTCTTTGTCAATTTTTAATATTTTTTCTTATTGATTTGTGGGAGTAATCTATGCTCTATACATGTAGGAGCACTAATTTTTTTATGTTATATCCATAGGCACAAACAGTTTTATGCCCTTAAAAGCTACTTTGTGGTAATTACATAGAACTGTAACATCCATCATGCTATGGCAACATAGACATCATGGAGTGGCATTAATATAACTAAGTTAAGAAAGAGGGAATTTGTAATTATATTTTAGAAGATATTTATTCTCAAATTCTAATGTGTGCAAAAATAATGTCATCCTCACTATTCAGTCCTTTAAAAAAGTTTATTCCCAATACAAATGAGTAACTCAAATAGTCTGAGTTTAATGCAGTGGTTTTTAGAAATATAGTTTTATTTGATTCATATTTGTGGCAATACAGCATAATATTTCCCAAATTCTTTTATCTAAATATAGCTTAAAAGCCCAAATGAAAAATTCAAGTAATATAGAGAACCAATTAAAGCAATTCATCCATAGAAGGAGATTTCCCCATGCATGCTATGGTTTTGATAATTTCTACTAAAGTGTGGGCACACTGTTTTCCTCTGACCCTGCTGTCTCTCCTCCTTTTTTAAGTTTGACTTTTCCTGGTAGAAATACATTTTTCCAGGAATGGTTTATCTTGAATATTTTGACCCTAGAGAGTAAAGTAATTTAGCAGAATTTCTCACATAGGGATTAAAATGGGTATTAAAGTATCCACAGAGGATGAAAGTGAATATAAAGAGGACTCAGGCATGAAAGTTCAGAAATGGGAATAGATGAATGATGTTTCTATTTTATCATCCTTGTAAATAAAATGAATGTGCTTTTGGCTTTCATTTGCTGTACGAATTGATTGTTACAGAATAACAGCTGAGAAAATGGAATTAAAATTTTTGAGAATCAGTGAATCAGCAGCACTTGTTAAGAAGTCAGTGGAGGTATTCCGGACACTCCACTGAGTTTACTTTCCACAAATCTCTAGGGTGTGTGCAGGTATCCCTGTGAAAAGAATGAATTGTCAGCATTTTAGAAATTTATACGTATCCTCTTTCACATCCAGGCGGTCCTGGTGAGATGGGACACATTATCTTTGAGCCCACTGGTCTTCTCTTTCCATAGGCCTTTCTGCTGAAATGTTCGGTGTTTTCCTCTTTCTATTACACAGCCCATCCCCAGCTTCTCTTGCTCCACCCTCCCCTCCCCCATGTCTCAAGTCCTGCATTTCTGACAAAAGTGATGGGTTGGATCATTTCATTCACACTTGATTGTGAAGCCATGTGGCTTAAGGCCTGCTACTCACCAGCTATGACTGTAACATCCAATATTAGTTAAATATTTACTGATACTTCCAAAGGGCCAGATTCTACACGATACTTCTGTGTACTATCTCACTGAATCCTGAGGTAGGATTTTATGATAATTTGTAGGCAAACAGGTTAAAACTTGGCCAAGGATTGACAGCCAGTAACCAATAACTCGCCGCAGTACAACTCAGTTCGGATTAGGGTAACCTGAAAACTACATTCACACACTACACCACACTGACATGGGCAGGTTTCAGACAGCTTCTCTTCTGCAAACCATCACCATGCATAGGATTACAATTAGAAAAGTCTGATTTCCTTGCTTCTGAGGTAACTGGCATAAAGACTACTAAATTGGGCTCACTTCAAATGGAACTGATGATTGTCTTGCTCCTCATAACTGTTAGAGTGCCCAAAGACCTGCCCTTTGGCCAAAAGCTGGAATGAGAGAAAAATTGTCTAATCCTCTGCTTTTTATTTTTAACCCAGTGATGCCACGCTTTGCTGAACAAGTAGAGGTTGCCATTGAAGCCCTGAGTGCCAACGTTCCTCAACCATTTGAGGAGAATGAGTTCATCGATGCCTCTCGCCTGGTGTATGATGGTGTTCGAGACATCAGAAAGGCTGTGCTGATGATCAGGGTATGTGAGGCCTCTGTAGTTCAGAGCTGGTCAGATCTCCTAGCAGGAAACCAAAGCGTTAACTCTTTTATTTATTATTTATTTTGTAATTACTGAGTTTAACTTGGTAAGCCGTTTGGCTCCTTATTTAGTCAGGCAAGGTGAACTTTCTACTTATAAAGGGATGAGTAATATCAACAAGTGCAGGTGAGCAGTGAATACTCTGAAGAGCAATGCCCTGCCTACTTCTTGCATGCATTAGTTTCTCAATTTCATACAACCTGAAGGAATACCCCTGCTATTTTCCATTTGTACCTCTTGCTAACACTCTTCCCATCAGGATTAGAAGATCATGGGCTGGAAAAAAATGAAGATTACACAGCATGGTAGTGTTTATAATAATGATACTTACAAAAAACAGTTATTATCATTATATAACAATGAAGTGATACATAATTACATTCTCTTTGTATAAAAGTAATTCAGACATTATAAATAAGGCTGGATAGCCCTACATCAAACCTCTTATTACCCACTCCACTGTCTTCCCATCTTCAGATTTCTGTTGTCAGGTAGGTGTATCTTCCAAAATGTTGTCTAAATAATTAATATATATGCACAGGCCTAGAAAATAGATATTATAATTGATTTAAACACTCATATAGTATCATTTCTAACTTCCTTTGTTCACCCACAAGGCACATTCATATATGCCTGTTAAGCTAGCTTACCTCATTTTATTTAACTGGCTGCATAATCCATTATTCCATTATAAGATTATTTTTTTTTCCTCCTTACCAACAGTTTAGCATAGTCATATTCAAACATTTATTAGCTGCATAGTAATGTTTATTTCTTCAAATGTACTGTATATGCAAAAGCATAATTGATGCAAATACATTTATGGCTATTATCATTGAAGCAGAGGTGGGCCTCTGCAGTGCTAATTCCAAAAGCATGCTGTCCAGTAGAATGGTATCCACATTTGCAACTTAAAATATTCTTTCTAGTAAACACACTACAAAAGAAAAAAGAAAAAGATGAAATTAATTAGAATTTTAAAAATATATTTTATTTAACCAAATATATCCAAAATATGATCCTTTTGTGGTACTGGCCGCATTTAAAGGGCTTAGAGACTCTACGTAGCTAGTGACCCTGTGTTGGACCAGGCAGCCCTAGTCTGTGTCCTCATTCTTGTCTTCATTGTCAACATCCACAGTTGTCTCTGAGGCTGATCAATGAAAAGACAAGGTGTTTGCTTTGAAATTTATTTTTCAAATTGTTCAAATGTTTAATTTTTTTTTTCTGAGTGTCATTGAGTACCTAAACTAACACCCCCCACAGTCAATTAATTCCTTTTTGGTGTGTGATCCCTTAAGCATATCAAGAAGTATCTGTGATGTATTATTCTCTCTGGATAATAATATATCCGTAGTCATTGTGAACATATGGTGTTAATTCTCCTCCAAATGTCGGTGTCCTTGAAGCCATTAAGTCTAAGCATAGTCATCTTTGCCTGTGGTATCCAGTGGGCAGGCTGGAGTAGAACATCACCAGATGCTCTTTTGCTCTTTGTTGATATCCATGCTTCTGAAACATCCACTGACTCCTTCACTGAAAAGCCCAGTTGCCATCTTCTGATCTTTTCATCTTTAAGTCAGATTGTCTGCTTTTTAAAATGTTAAATATAAATCTGTCTTTCATAGTAATCCCATGATGAATTCAAAATGATCAGAGCACTCAGTAAATTGTATCAGATGATACAAATAATACTTAACAACATGGAATTCAGATTTGGAATCTGAAGGCTGTCAGTGTGATTTCTGGTTCTTCAAACCTGCGTATTTTATACCTGTTAAACTCTGATTATCTTTCAATACCTAGCTCAAATGTTCTCTCCCCAATTTTCTCCTTCAACAAAAATGGCCTTATCCTATAACTACCTACAACTGTTTCTGTTTCTTCCCAAGTCTTGTCTATGTGATCTGTCAGATGTATAGGGATTTTCAGATTATCCCCCACAAAGTGGCTTAAAAATACATAAAGGCAAATTTGGCAAACCAACATATAGTTGTTTCTCATTTTTTTTTTACAGTAGTGAATTATCTGCAAAATCACTGTGAACACTGTAAGATTTATTGTTGAGGTAAAATGAGGAAACTGAGGCGAGTATAAAAAAAGTGAGAAGCTAATTTATTCAGCTCCTGGGTGAGCTTCAGTGGTCTAAGGGGGGACTAGAGAAGTCACGCCTGGATGTTCAGGGCCTGGAGTTTTATGGGGAGGTCAGGCAATTGATTGGTTACTAGGGAAACAAAGAGAAGGCATTTCTATTGGCTGTTGAGGAGCAGGAAGTACATGGAATTAAGGAAGTACATGAAACTAGTTGCTATTGGTAGGCGGGCGGGACCTTGGGTAGGCAAGCCTACGGGGCAGGCTGTTGCTGGGCAGGGTACAGTGGGGCTTCTTTAAAAAAATTTCTCTGCAGCGTTTTTTAACAGTGGGCTGGAGGTTGGATGCATAATTTAGTGCTGAGTGTGGGCTTGGGCATGGTATGCAGAGGCAGGTGCAGGGAAGCTATGTGGGGAAGCCAGATAATGAGCTCAGGTGATGACTCAGTTATCAGGCGTGGAGAGTGATGAATGTGTCCGTTTGACTCCTGGCAAGGCAGCTGGCCTTACAAACACCAAATTTGTGAATCTTGAATCATTGTGCCTAGGAGAAACAGTATTTATTACACAGTTTCCTTTAATGTCTATTGCTCTGTAAGGAAAAAACTCAAACTGTGTTTTCCTCTGTTCTCATACCATACTTAATTAACACAGAAGACTTCTGTGACCCAATGTGGGAGATGGTGTTCTCCCCATCACTAAGCAAGAAGTCTTCTGCAGCAATCACCAAGTTGTTGTCCTTCAATTTGATTCCCACACCATCGATCTGGAGATAGCATGAGATCCCACAGAGTAAGGGCCCAGTCCCCAAAGCTGCTGCCCCTGCCAGATACCAGTCATAAGTTAGGGCTTCCAGAATGTCTGACAAACTGGTTTCAAGTTGGGATTTCTATGATCCCTGCTTTGGGTTAAATTCATTTGCTAGAGCTGCTCTCTGAACTCGGGGAAACACTTTTATTTATGAGTTTATTCTAAAGGATGTTACAATAGGTAACAGGGGAAGAGATGCATAGGGTGAGGTATGGGAGAAGGGACATGGAGCTTCCATGCCTTCCCTGGCATACCACCCTCTAGGAACCTACATGTACAGCTATCCAGAAACTTATCCAAACCCTGTCCTTTCAGGTGTTTATGGAGGCTTCATTACATAGAATCACTGGCTATTGGTGAGCAACTTAACCTTCAGCTCCTCTCCCTCCCTGGAAGTTAGAGGGTAGAACTGAAATGTCCAAACCCTCTAATCATGCCTTGGTCTTTCTGGCAACCAGGTTCACCTTGAAACTACCTAGAGCCTTCCAGCTACAAGTCAACTCATTCACATACAAAAAGTATCACTTTGAAGTTTGTTAGGATTTTAGAAGTTGTAAGCTAGGAAACAAGTTTGAAGACCAAATATACATTTCACAATATCACAATTACCTTCTCTAGACTGTAAAATTGAGGAAAGCAAAGGCTGTCTTTTTTTTTTTTTTTTGCTTCACTGTGCTGTTTTGTTTGTCACAGAACCTAACTCTCTCTCTCTTTCTCTCTCTCTCTCTCTCTCTCTCTCTCTCTCTCTGTGTGTGTGTGTGTGTGTGTGTGTGTGTGTGTGTGTATGTGTGTGTGTAAAAGAGATAGAGATGCCTAGAGAGATGGCAGGGTGATAGATAAAAGAGATACAATAATTGGAAGAAGGGGAAAGAAAGAATAGTCAGCTTTTTAGGCCCATAACAAATTAGATCATTTTTATTCCATTATGTACTAACTTGTGAAATAAGGTAATAGACCATGAGAATTATATTTTCAAAGCATTTGGTGCTAAATCCCACTGTAATCCTCAAGATATATTCCCTCTTTTGCTGCTTTTCTGCTTTGTTAGCCTTCACATGTTTATGACAACCATTCATCTGAGAGGTTGAGGCCATTTATAGCCATCATTCATTTATTCATTCATGAGCTGTAACACACACACACACACACACACACACACACACAGTTTTAGATAAAATGCCATATCTTTGTCACATGTAGTGTCATTTCTCTATCTTGACATTTCAAGTGATTAGATGTATTTCACACCACTTAAAATTTAGGAGAGAAATGTACAAATTGTTATTTTTTTAAAATTCTTCTCCATTCAGCACCGAAATGGCTTCATTTTGCACTTAAATATTTCTTGGTTTTCTTTCTGAAATGTAATTATTGAGTCTACTTAAAAAAAATCCTTGTATTAAGGAAGATAGACAATAAGACAAACATAATTGTTTCTTACCCAGAAAATTTGACCATACCTCCTTCCCTCTCAAAGGTTGCAAAGAAATTTTTTTTTCCCAAAAATAATACAGAAAGGACCCTGAAGGGTCAAATTCTTCATCACTTTGTCTCTTGGCAGTTCATACATATTTAATGGTGATGTTGGTATCTGAGAGCTTCCAGCCAGCTCCAGGCAACCCTCTGAAGGAGACAAAGCTTGTTCTTATTGTATTCCAGCCTCAACTTTCAGGACCTTCCTTTTATCTTGGAGCGATTTACCCCTCCTTCATGAACCTTTTTTTTTGCTTCTTCCTGAGGCTTGTCCATTGTGACCTGTCAGGTACATAGAAATTTTCTGATTTACCCCACAAAGTTTAGCTTAAAAATATACGCACAAATCTGGCACACCAACATATATAGTCATTTCTCATTTCTTACAGTAGGTAATGTTCCGAAAGTTCACTGTGTACACCACATTTGTGAATCTTGAAGCATTGCTCCTAGGAGAAATACAGGGTTGCGTTACTGTGAGCTTCTGAACACTTTTTTTTTTTTTTTCAACTGATCAATACTTAATCTTGTTTTATGTGAGTTTGTGTTCAAAGACACATTCTTTAA